TTTTCGAAATTTTTTCGGATTTGGAGGCTAAACGGAAACGGTAACGGTAACCGGAAAAACGGAAATGAAAACGGTAAAAAAATTCGAAAATGAAAACGAAAACGGTTTAGCCCTTTTCCGATCGTTTTCGAAAATTACCGTATTTAAACTGTATTTTACCGTCGGTAATACCGGCCCAACTCATACTAGGCTCACTTTTAATTATAAAGCCCAATCCAAATCCCAAATGGGCCAAATGCCCAAATCCCCTTCAGCCCAACCCTGTGCCCAAATCCTGAAATCCCCTTCACCCCTTTCGGTCTTCACTCTCCTGGATTTTAATTTGGATTTTGCCACTATTATGCCGTGAGAATATTTCAATTTATGTTTTAATGCTATATTTTATAATGTGGTGTGTTTATCGTTTTTTAAATACCGTTTTAATATATTTCGATCATTATCGATGTATTTTCGATTGGATAGTTTCGTTTTCGATATTATCGGAATACCGATGTCGTTTTCGTTTCCGACATTATCGTATCATTTTCGTTTTCGAGAAAAAAATATGAAAGTGGAAATGGTTGAGCCCTATGCCGATCGTTCCCGATCGTTTTCATCCCTACATCAACTCTCAGGTTTCTTTCTTTTTTAAAAAAAAAAATTAAAAAAATTAAAAAAATATGAAAATGCTTCAATCTTGTTGAAATTATTAAGTTTACACTCCGACACACCAAAAAAATAAAGCCCCCTTTTTAAACAATGTAAAATCAAAAAGGCACAAGCCATGTTTGGAGATATAAATTGTTGTGATGCAAATAATTATGCATCAAAACTATTAAGGGCGTGCTTGGATATAAAAATTCCAATTCAAGATGAATTTTTTTAGTTAACTAAAGTTAATTTGAAAAAATGTGATATGGTTAGTTGTTAGTGGAATTTTGAACTTATAATAAAATAATTAAAGTTGATTTGATGTAAAAGTAAAAGAAAGATTATGTACATTGAATTATTTATAGTCATGTGAGTGGATAAATAATAAATTAAAGTTAATGTGATGTGTATGAATGATTGATTTGTATTAGTAAAATCTATTAATAATATTGAGGATATTAAAGTTGAGTTAGATTTTTTAGTATAAATTGAGTTTATTTATAAACAAACACACCAAATATGAATGTTTTCATCACAAGTTCTGATGTGGTATCATAAAATCGCGCAATTCATTTCTTGGATTTTATAAGAGTATAATTTATGAAAAATCATGTATTGAGAAGTAAGTTATTAGTCCCTTGTAAATAAGGTATTCAATTTACTTTCTAACACACTCTTTTAATTAAAAAATATTATTGACGAATCGATTTAGGAAGTTTAGACGTTGTTTGTTTTGCAAGTTAATTCGATTCGGGATTTAAAAAAGTTCGAGATGAGACGGTTTGTTAGGCGTATAATTTAAAATGTCGAAGTTCCATTACCAAGTTTCTATATTTTAATTAATTAATAAAATCTACAGTGTATAAGATGTTATTTTTAATAAAACATACAATTTCGGTGGTCTAGCTACCTAATAACAATTAAAAAACTGCTAAGTATTATTATCATTCGTATAGTAGCCAATCATGAGTTTCCGGTTAGATTTTCAAATCTCCAATATGAATAGATGAATCGGGTTCAATGTATACTTTTTGAAATAATTAAAATTTATGCATGTCATCAAATTAGAAATCAAGATAATTAATTTCCCATCCAATTATGAGCCTTTTTATAATGATGAGGAAAAACAAATGTGTGACCCTTTTAGGTTTGTATTTTTATTTATGAAAGTCTACCATACATTACCAAACTATGATTGTTCATCCATTATATTACATATCAAATAAATTAATTGGAGATGATAAATTGAATCAAAGTGTTATTCTTTTAGCACGTTCTAGGGAGATTAACATTTTATTCATTAATAGTGTTAAAAATTTTAACTATTGAAAGTTCGAACATTGGAGATGTTCTAAAACGAAGACGTGCGCCCGTAATTCTCGTCATCAATGTACAATCAAATGAGTTTTTACTCAAATGGAGTGAGGCTTAATTTGGGCCGGGTAATCATCCGGCCCACCTGACAACAGTGGTCCATTAATGCAGCCCCCTTTCCCTTCCCAATGTCAAAATCCATTAATAAATGTCCCCTGTTTGATTAAAAATGTCACTAGATCTTAAATAAGTATTTAGTGGAAACATCTTAATATACAGTCGGTAAACACACCTTAATTTATCAAACAAAGGACTCAATTTAATCAATAATTCAATGAGTATCCTGCCATTCTAAGTCACACTCAAGTCAAACCCCATAAATAATAAAATATAAAATAAAATAAAACGAAACAACGTGTTGTAGATCGATGAGCCTATTGGCTAATGGGGCAACAAATCATAAGACCAAAGTTTCTCAGCCCATGTTTATGGGCTGGAGTAGCTAGGCATGTCCATCCAAATAGTAATTTTTCAGGAAACTTCAGCTAAATTCAGTCGTTAGGCCTTCAGATATTTATCATCTTAGTTAGGCCCAAATGTCAGTATTCATCTTAGGGACTTACACATCGTAACTCTTGGGGAAGTTCATAAATCAATCAATGAAAAAATTACTTACAACAACTAAGGCCGTGCTTGGATACAGGTTATCCCAAAAAATTCCAATCATTTTTAACCAATCATATTTTTTAACTTAAATCTAACTCATTTTTTTTTGGGTACAATTTAACTCAATTCACTATCATCAATTATTAATATAATTAAATAATATCATATCACATCAACTTTAATTCACTATTCATCAACTCATATAATTTTAACTAACCATCACTTCACATTATCTCTCTCATACTTTTACATCAAATCAACTTTAATTATTTTATTTTAATATAAATTCAAAATCTCACTAACAACTAACCATACCGCATTTTTTAAATTGCTACCCGGTTCTATTGCAAGTAAGCACCCGGGGGATATCAACCACCGAACCCAACGAGGGGCACGAAGGACCTCGCACATTCCTCCGGATCGCTTCACCAACATCGCAGTGAAGGAAAAGAGCCAACAAACGAATCGAAGCAAAGTGAAGTCTCTGGAAGGGAAGGTGTAATTGAAGCAGTCGAAGACCTGGTTTCCGATTCAAGGCAGATAGCAATTTTAACTAAATCAAACCAAAAAATCCAATCAAAAAAAAAATAAAAATCCAAGCACCCCCTAAATGTCCGTCTCGCATGTGACGCGCATTATTTTTTGGGCACCACCGGCTCCGGGTTGGATTAAAGTGAACACTGATGGTGCATTAAAAAATCTCACGGATTGAGCAGTGCGGGTGGTCTACTCCGAGATGAAATGAGTAGATGGATCGAGGCTTCCTCTTGAATATTGGCTTTTGCACCATTACGAGTGCGGAACCCTGGGGGATTTTTCAAGGATTGCAGTTGACTTGGGACATGGGAAATCGACGAGTTATCGCCGAGGTTGATAGCCAAAGCGTAACGAAAATGGTACTAGGGCCTAAAGGATTCCTTTGAACTCATAAAGCGCTGGTAAAGGCCATTCGTAGTATGGTCCGACGAGAGTGGGATATTAGAGTCCATCACGTACACAGGGAAACAAATTTTGCGGCTAACCATATGGCGAGTTTGGCAGTGTCCTGCCCTGATTGGTTTACAGCTGGTATCCTCTCCTCTTCCAGGTATGGGAGCGTGGCTCGAGCACGGCATCATTGGGGTGTCGTATCCTCGTCGAGTTCTAGACTAGCTACCATACTTGGCCTTCGGCCTCCTTCATTGTACCGAAAAAAAAAGAAAAAAAAAAGAGAAGCATAAAACAAATTATGAAGATAATCTTATTTTGAGTAAATCAAAAAGTGTAAAAAAAGTCTCATAATATTTGGCCATGTATGAATTTGTTATCTTGATTTTGGAAAATCGGGATTTATAAGGGGGTGATTGTTTATGGATTCACCTTGTTTTTATTTGGTTTGTTTTTTTAACTATAGTTAATGTTGAGAAAATGTGGCATAGTTAGTTGTTAGTGGATATATTAAAATAATATTTAAATAAAATAATTAAAATTGATTTGATATAAAGTAGGAGAAAAATGATTGGAACTGATGGTTAGTTAAAATTATGTGAGTGGATGAATAGTGAATTAAAGTTGATGTGATATATAAGAATGATTGATTAATATTATTTAATTATATTGATAATATTATTTAATTATTTACCAATATTGGAAATATTGGTAATATTATGTGTAAGAAAGTTGATTGGGTTAAAGTCAGAGTTAAATTTGAATTTTCACAAAAAAAAAAAAAAATGTACATGATAAGTCGTGTAAATAATAGGGTTTATTGCACTAAATCCCCCTGTATTATATGAAATCTGCGCATTTTCCCCTGGTATTTCAAAAATTGCGTCAAACCCCCCTGTATTTAATGTTTCAATGCACACTCGCCCTTGTAAGTTAACGGCGTGACTTTTAATGCTGACGGAGTTACTTTTTGCTGAAATTACTATTATACCTTTACTTTATCCTTGAAGTTACCATTATACCCTTATTGTCATATATGGTGACTTAAAAATAAAATCCCAAAAGTGGGGATTGAACCCACTACCTTTGGGTTATAAAAAGCCATCTTCACCAACTGGGCTACTTAGTGTTTTCTTATTAATGTGACTTTGTTTATTTATATCATAATATATAGCGGAACTAATATAATAATTAAGTATATGGATTCTAATTTATAAATAATATAATAATTAAGAATATAGATTCTAAATTAGTATATAGATTATAAATTATAAATAATATAATTAAATATTTAGATATAAATAATATTATAATTAAATATTTTTTAGTTATAAATAATATAATAATTAAGTAAAAAGATTTTAAATTACAAATAATATAATAACTAATATAATAATTTGGTATATAGATTCTGTATATAAATAATGTAATGGTTAAATAAACATACTCTAAATTATAAATAATATAGTGAATAGAGAACGAAAATCCTAGGAACTTATGGGAGTTAGTTGTTCATCTTGAGACCGAGAGGAGATAGATAACAATTAATATCTACGATTTGACTTGTTCGAGAGAAAGGTTTGAAATCAATTTAGCGATTATCTCTACGATTGGTAAAATTAAATAAGGTTTGTTTGAATATAAACGTTTCATGAATTAATTCCGAGGAACGCTTAGCCTAGAATCTACCTTTTGTTTCTTTATTTATTTTTATTTATTTAGATAAATTAGTTTTTAGTTTAATTCTTAGTTTATATTCATCATTCAATTCACTAGTCTAAATAATATTTAATCGTCGTTATTTTAGTACTTAATTAATTTAACTACAATCTCTGTGGAATACGACCTTGCTCGCCACTACCTATAGCTACGCCGTACACTTGCGGATAGCGAAAATAATTAGCGAACATTTATATATTTTTTAAATATGTAAGAAAATATAAAAACTAAATAAGTGAAATAAAAACAAATCATATATTATATATAGAAGTATCATTTTATTTTATAATAAATAAATTTAATTTAATTTAATTTATTAATTTATTATAATTAATTTTATTTTATTTTGTTTATATATATTATGTTACTTCATTAATAAAAATATTTATATTTATATTTATTTTTTATTTTATTTAAACGTATATTATCATTAATTTTTATATTAAATAGTAATATATTCATTTATTATTTTCAAACTTCATATTTAATTTAATTTTTTATTATTTTATTTAAATTAAATTTTATTATAATGATTTAGTTTGTGATTATATTATTTTTTATTTTTGTTTGATTAAGTTTTCCTCTTGTTCTGTTGCTTTAAATAAATGTGTGTTAATTTTGTACAATATAATGATGGTGGCACAGTGGTTGAAAGCTTGGCTAGTGATGTTTTGACCCAAGTTCGAATCCTATGAGGAGCAGCCAACCATCAATTTTTGCCCAACATGCAGGGGGCAAAATAGTAAATTTCAATTTTAAAATAAAAAATATATGAAAAAATTGAATAATTGTCGCATTACATGAATGTGTGCTGCACGCGCCGTGAAGTTGGACGGAGAGGGGGGATTCGTGCAAAAGTTAGTTAATACGAGGGGGTCTGACGCAATTTTTAAAATACCAGGAAAAAACGCGCAGATTTCATATAATATAGAGGGATTTGGTGCAATAAACCCGTAAATAATATAGGGGGGTTTGGTGCAATAAACCCGTAAATAATACTAGCAAAGTAAATAAAATCTGTACACACTGAGCATTCGTTGTTTCAACCCCAATTATGGCGGCGACGGCGGCAACGGGAGGCAGCATTCGCCTTCTCCATCCTCGCCTGCGGCCGAGGAACCTCCGGAGAGCCGCTCGTCAGCTTTCGACACTCGCGGCCTCCTTACCCATTCAAGATGCGGATGAGCTCCCAACGGCAGCCGCAGCCCCCAAACCTCGCTCGGGCACGGACAATAAAACGGCGTCCTATTATCCTAAGCGAGGCCAGACTGTGGAACTCGTCTGCGAGAGCCTAGCCTTCAAGGGCAAGGGCTTGTGCAAGGTCGCGGACACCGGCTACGTCGTCATGTGCGACCGCGCGTTGCCCGGAGAAAGGTTCGTCGGGCGCGTGACTCGGAAGAAGGATAACTACGTAGAGGTTTTGCCAGTTATTTTCTGCTCAATTGTTCCCCCTTTCATTTGTAATGCGAACAGTAGTGTTGTTCTCCGTTTTCGCATATGTTGTGTGTAGTATAGTGCTTGGAGATAACAATTTCTGAATTTGTGTGTTTGCATAAAATTTTGAGTTGTGCGGTTGAATTAGGTTTTGCTTGTCGTCATTTATGGTGTATTGTATTTGGGGGCAGGTGAAGAAAGTGAAGACAATAAGCCCACATTGGGACTATGTGGAGGCACCTTGTGAGTTTGCTTCCCACTGTGGCGGTTGTAAGACACAGAATCTGTTGTACGAAGCTCAGGTTAGGGCAAAGGAGCAGCAGGTGAAGGAGCTGATTGTACGTGTCGGAAAGTTTTCGTACAAAGAGCTCGGATGCAATGACATTATGAAGCCTATTGTTCCTTGTGATATCCAGTTTCATTACCGGAACAAGGTACAGGGGAGAAGTTGCAATTTTTGCAGTGTCTTCAAGTTTTGTTTATCTCAGCACATGTGAGATTTATGGATGTTCTAATTTTATTTCTATTTTCGTAATGTTTGGGTAAAGTTATTTCACTTTTCCATTTTGTGAGTTATATGAGGTTGGTTGGAGTGAAACACTCATGAGAAAGGGAAGGAATTGAGAAAAAAAATGAGAAAAATCAATTAGAAAGGATATATAAATTTATGTTAATTTCTTTGTTTACTCAGATGGAGTTCTCGTTCGGGACCAAAAGTTGGGTGCGGGAAGAACTTCTGCAAGAAGAGTGTGACGAAACCAACAAATATTCTTTGGGATTGCATGCTCCCGGGTTTTTCGACAAGGTTCTGAATGTGAATAAGTGCTTGTTACAGAGCGATCCAGCAAACAAGGTATGCTGGTTCAAAATCCTGCTTTTATATTTTATATTATGAACATCTCTTGCATAAATGCCATGCCACATATGTTTATGCTCAAAAGGGAGATCTATTTTCTCTTTCGGGCATTGGAGGCAATTTGAAACCTCAGAACTATGTTGAGATATAGATGCCATATGCAGCTTATAATTTCTGTGTTGGATTCCTCTTGATGTAAGTTTAGTCATGACAAGCAACGATTTCCTGCTTGTGCCATACGGACTTTAGTTCTTTCGAGCTATTTGGTCGACATTAATAAACATGAACTTCTCCCTATTAAGAATTTTCTCTGATTTGTAGGTCCTTGCAGCTTTTCAAGACTTTTGGAGGGACCCAGAACTCGGGCTGTCTCCATATGATGTGCACTCCCATCGTGGGTTCTTGAAGCATCTGATGCTTAGAACGGGCAGGTAGTCTCGTCTTTCATTCACTTCTTGCAGAATACTTAAATTAGGAGTAAATGATGGACTTGGATTTTTGCCGCTTTGTATATCCGGTCAATTTAGAAAATCGCTATTTCGTTTCTAGAAGTATAGTTGACGGCATGACTTGATGCTCTATCTTTGTGTATATATTTGTTCTAGGAATGTTGAGACTGGCCAACCTGAGCTAATGGTTAACTTTGTGACTTCGTCATACAAGCCAGAATTGCTGAAGCCCATTGTAGAGAAAATCGCGACTTTTCCTGATGTCGTGAGTTGGTGCTAAAAGGATGATCGACTTTATTCAATACGAAATATCATATCTATTTTTTTTTATTAGTTGTTTTTCACCTATTGGTCGTTTTAATTATAAGAAGCCACCGAAACATGGGTTTTAGTCAAGGATCCTTGGCAGTTGGCCTCTTGTTTGTGACCTATTTGATGGAAAGTTTATTTTTCCCGAATATAGGTAAGCATCATGAACAATGTAAATACGTCTGTGGGCAACACGTCTGTTGGGGAGGATGAGTACACACTATTTGGTAAACCAACTATTACAGAGTGCCTTAGGGGGTTGAAATTTCAAATATCGGCCAACTCTTTCTTCCAGACAAATACACAACAGGTATTTCAGCAGACGTAAGATAAATAACGATATACTCTTTCTTCCATTTGCTTCTGCATGTTTTTTTTTAAGATGCATACAGCTGCGATACGAAGGGATTTTATGTTCTTCCAATGAAGATATTTTTTTCCCTTTAGTTTTTAGAAAATAGTATTCACCCATCTCACTCTCTCTCTCATCATTCTCCTCTATACATATTTTATATTACTACACATTCCTTGCAAAGAGAACTGTTTACTCAAGCACGTGTGTATGACTACATTCATATCAGTTTAATATTATTTTACTATTCTTATATCACGTCATTTTGTTCACCATAATTCCATCTTATATCTATCGACACTCTCAAAAAAGGTTCATTATCCTTCCTCCTAAATTTTTTTCATCACTATTCCATAGTGGTAAAAAAAATGATTTAACATGGAATTATATCTGGTCGCACCCTAGACTTCGATTTTCTTTTCTGTCTCCCTTCTTTTTTGTTTTTCAAAAAATATAATTGATCTCATCTGTCAATAGTTATAACCATGCAGGCAGAGGTTCTTTACAAATTAATCGAGGATTGCTCTTGTCTTAAAGGAGACGAGTCAGAAATAGTTCTTGATCTCTTTTGTGGGACAGGGACCATCGGCCTCTCACTTGCCAAAAGGTAATTTTTTTTTTTTTTTCCTCAGGCTGCTCTTTTATTTGAATCCCAGGGTTCATCTTGCAAATTCAAAGTTTGCTTTCACATTATTAGGGTGAAACATGTGTATGGCTTCGAGATAGTCAATCAAGCCATTTCAGATGCACGCCGTAATGCGAACCTTAATGGCATATCTAATGCTACCTTCGTCCAAGGGGATCTTAACAAAATTGGGGAGAATTTCGGAGAATATTTTCCTAAGCCTGATCTTGTTATCACAGGTTTATTCTCTTACTAGATTCATCTTCCTATTAGTAGTCACTATTCATTGAAGGCACTCGCTGTCCCATAAAATTTCATACCAAAATTTGAAAAGTTTACAATGAGGTGTGATTTTTCCTTATACTTTCTGAGCTGATTTTTTTTAAGGCAAAATTGCATATAAAAGCACCACCTTTCATGTTTTTGCATTTTAATCACGATCTTCGCATATTAGCACTTAAGTACATGACATTTCATCCCTTTGCAAGTCGAAGCACGCCTTTCATCTCCGACACCAATAAGCTTGCCAGAATACACATGTGGAATTGAAAAAAAAAAAAACGGAGAAAAATGCAAATCCACTTTGCCCAGTCTTTTTTCGACACGTCGACTGCTCCAAAAAATTAAAAAACTAAAATTGAAATCCACGCCGCCTTGCAGAAAATCCCCAAATCGAAGAAGAATAAAACTTAAAAAAAATCCTCTGTAAAGGCAATCTCTTAACACAACGATGATACCTCCGAGCTGAATTTTTATCCGTGTTAGAGGTTAGCATTTCCGCTTCCAAATTATGGAAACACATACGAGGCTGATGAGTTGTTGTTCGACTGCTAGATCCACTCGACATTTTCAGGAAAAAATGGGGATTTTGAAACACAATTAGGGTTCGTATGGGAAGAGGAATTAGAATTTTGGGGTGCTAATTCAGGGTTGTGGAGAAAGTTTACAGAAGTTGAAGAGCATATGATTCACAGAAATTTTGCAATTTTCATAGAAATTTCGCCATCTTCACAGAAATTGAAGATCAAAATTAGGGTTCGATTGTGTGTGTGAGTATGTGACGGGAGACTTAAATAATTGATTTGGGGGAGAGAAGGCGACATGGATTTTGTGTTTTTTAAATTTTTTTTTAGTCTATGTGTTATTACGAGAATGGGCGACATGGAATTCATTTTTTTTTTCTTTTTTTGAACATTCCACATGTGTATTCTGACGAGACACGTCAGCTCTATTCCGGCGAGGTTGAAGGCATGATTCGATTTGCAAAGAAGCAAAAGGTCATGTACTTAAGTGCTAATATATGAAGGTCGTGATTAAAATGCAAAAGCATGAAAGGTGGTGCTTTTATATGCAATTTTGCCTTTTTTTAATAATTTTACAATAAGATAATCATTCTTCTGGTTGCAACTTATTGAAAATATTTTAGAAACCATATCTTCGTTAAGTAAATCAATCCATCACAAGTAATGACTCAATGACTATAAAATCGAGCTCTTTGTTCTGAACAAAACAGATTTATTATGATACGATGCAGATCCTAATCGTCCTGGCATGCACATAAAATTAATCAAGTTCTTGCTGAAACTAAAGGCACAGCGTATTGTATACGTATCGTGTAATCCTGCTACATGTGCTCGTGATCTCGATTACCTCTGTCACGGTGTGGTGAGTATTTGTTTTTTAGCTGATTAGAAAAGTTCAGAAACAAAAAAAATTGTATAATCAGTTTGATCGAGACTCAGAGTATGGTTCCAATTATTGTATGCAGCCTGAGAAGAATATCGAAGGGTGTTATGAGCTGAAAAGCGTTCAGCCAGTTGATATGTTCCCACACACGCCTCACATTGAGTGTGTTTGCCTGTTGGAGCTCAAAGGCTCGAGTAGTTGTTGAATATAGAGACGATCGGTGTAAGTTTTTGCTGTGTAAACTTGACACTTATTTATTGAGCAAATATCTATCTTTGAGGCTTATGCTGTTGCTTCTCTCTCTCTTTCTCTCTTTTATCTTTTCCAGTTTGTTTTGGTCTGATCTTTGGAGCAATTGCTTTGCTCTATTTATGGATTGTATGGAAACTGGCTTTTATTGCTGCATAGGCCCGAGTGTAGTTGAAAATTAATCAACTTATTTTATTTATTTATTTATTTATTTATTTATTTTTTTTTGTGAAAAGAATGAAAATATTTTAGACACTGTTAATGGACATGAAATAAAATTTAACAATGATACAAAAATAGTAAGTAACCTGAGATTAAATGTAACAATTAAAGTTTATGTGATATAAAGACAGTAAACTAGTAATTATGAATGACTAATAGTTAAAAATATGTGAGAATGAATGGTGAACTAACAATTTAAGAGCAAGTAAACTAATAATTATGAATGACTAATAGTTAAAAATATGTGAGAATGAATGGTGAACTAACAATTTAAGAGCAATTACAAGAATACGTTGTGTGAATGAATGGTGAACTAACAATTTAAGAGAGAGAGCAATTACAAGAATAAGTTGCGAGAATGAATGGCGAACTAACAATTTAACAATTTAAGAGTTGTGTGAATGAATGGTGAACTAACAATTTAAGAGAGAGAGCAATTACAAGAACAAGTTGCGAGAATGAATGGTGAACTAACAATTTAACAATTTAAGAGCAAGAGCAATTACAAGAGTACGTTGCGAGAATGAATGGTGAACTAACAATTTAAGAGTAATTACAAGAGTACGTTGCGGTGTGATTGCTTCATTGCAAATAGAATAGACTAAAATCTCAAAATTGCAAAAAAATGTTGAAAATAGTTTATATTTGACTAAAAAAATTGTAAGTATTCAATTGAATAACATAAATGCTACCCCTAATTGTCTAACAAACTAAAAGTTATACTTTCTTGAATAACACAATGCTACACTAACTGTTAGATAATCATACTTTCTTGCAAAAGAATATATACTTATTTTATAAAACATCATACTTTTGTTTATATATCGTATTTAAAGTATGACATTGAGTGAGAAAGTATGTATATATGCTGAAAAAGTATGACTGTCTAACTATTAGACAACTTAACAAAAATATACGAAAGTATGTACATATGTTGAAAAAGTATGACTGTCTAACCATTAGACAACCTAATAGAAGAATACGATCATTCTAATCACATAATTACACGACGAACTTGTTCAAGAGACCATACATGGCGCTTTTGACGTGGATGACATATCTAAATGCGTTGAGAAGGGAAAATTAATACGACAAAAACGAGGAATAAAGAACGGATCAATAACCTTAGGCTCAACATTGTTAAAGTCGCTCATACAAAACTACATAAGATAAAAACTCACGTTGGTGTGTGATCAAACAAAGCCAAACATTCAACTTCTTTTTTTTGTTTTTTAAAAAAAAAAGAGCTCAAATGAAACCATTAGAAAAGTGGTTCAGGCAATTTATCAAACACCTTGTACCCAAATATAAGAGAAAAAAAAAGGTCTTGAGCCTCAATCCTCTTGGCTTAGGACTTGATCAGAATCGGCATTGGCGAGCTGAGGTTGCTGGGAGGTGTTGAGCTTCTGTTCCATGTCTCGCATTCTTGTTCTTACGACACTTGTTACCAGAACTGCTTGTTTTTCACCATCGATCAA